TGTATTCGTTGAGAAATCAGTTTAAAAAATGTAAACAATAGATTTCGATACTGTTACCCACATAGTAGAAAGCATATTAAATGTTTCCATAACTTGTTCTTTAAATTTCATGAGTACATGATTTCCTGACTGCGGAATGGATCAATAGTAGAAATAAGTAAAGCATCGGACTAATTTGTGAAAATGCCAAGACAGTGGCTAGGAAACATGCAACAAAAATTCTCTTTCCCCGGAATTTAGGGCCACCTTTGAAGGACTAAATTAGTAGTGGTTAGTCTGGTGAAGACATTGAAGTACCTTCCCCACATTTGTCAATAAAGTTGGTTACAGGCAGATCCGGTTTACAAAGGCATATTTTGGGTTCCTTTCCGTGGCTTCGGTGAACTTGCATTTTTAAGTTTTTGCAACCGTATTTGAGTTCAGAGTAATTTTTTAAGTGACGTAGCGAAAGCTGAAATTATTATTATCAGTACAGTATTCTGAGAGCGGGAGCAACGTATATGCAAATGTTGGAGTATTATTATTTATTCAACTTCCCACCATCGATTTTAGGCTGATTTCATTGATTGCTAGTAGAATGCTTTATATGTGTATGTTACGGTTAAATTGTTCATTTCGTCAACGTATCTATGCATTGACCAATTTACTCAGTAAATGTGTTCAGAATGGACACTTGTACTAGTCGATGTATATGTTACAGTGAAAGCCGGAAATTAGAGATTGTTAGCTTTCACTAGTCAAAGTTAGCTTTACTAAAATTAACCGTGCAAGTTGGGAAGTTAGAATATAAATTTACTTTTCCCAGTTAATGCTAACAATTACTACCGGACGTTAGTAAATGTGTATCTTTCTTCTCTTTGATGTTGTAACGTGATTGGTGAGTGAACATAACCTGAAAAACTTGTTTAAATGTTTACTGTTCTGCTGTTTACCTACCTATCTACCTATCGTTTATTTTACCGGTACGGATTTTGTTATTTTAATTGTGTCATATAAGGTTTTATTTTGTCAACCTCTGAAACTGGGATTAGCAACATCCCCCCTACCTCAGAAGACGAAAAAGAACTAGAACATTTAAATGAGGAAACTAATAATTCCGATGAAGATAAGGGAGGACAAGGATTTTCGAAATGATAACGCAAAAGCCAGATCTCAGTCCAACAAGTGCTGCTGTAAAAAACGAAAAATTTTATGCACATCTAAATGTCATGGATCTCTACCCTGTCCGAACAAATAAAAAAAATTTTAGTTTCTGTACCACATTGATCATGGAATATATCTAGTTTATACGGTGTGTTATTGAAAGATACGTATAAAATAAAATCGGCAATTGGTCTCGAAGTATGGGTGCTAAAATTAAAAAAGAGTTCAGCTAAACGTGTTCTTCTTTTAGAGATAAAAATTATTAAAATTTATGTCCCAATTCCTTGTATGTCTCTGATAAAAAGGTCATCTTTCGTTTCTATAGCAACAAAAGGGTCTCTTATTTTTTATTATTGTTACAGTTGCTAGGATTTACTAAAATAAATTCATTTTATCTATTTATCCTTCAGTAGCGTCTAAAAAGGTTGGATAGGGGTTAATTTATCCCCTTATAATTTTAATAACACAAAATAAGTCTTTCAAGGCTTAGACTTCACGAAGAACTGTCAATTTTGTTGTACGTACCTTTCAATGACACCCTGTATATGTTTTTTGTCATGTATTTATCAGTGGCGGCTCGTGACCTTTTGAAATGAGGGGACACAATTTGATTGATGAGTTAAATATGAAGATATAACACAGGTTGTTACTACTAATTAATAGACGAAATTTTATGACGGAAATAAATACAAAAGTACATTCAATAAAAGTAAAACAGGATACGTCCACATACCTTTTTGCCTTCGGTAAAAATTTTACGTTGATGACATCTAAAAGCTCATTTTGGACAGTTTTAGACGTTCCTTTAAAAACCGTTTCTTCTTTCAAATGATCTGATAAAGCAAAGTCCAATTCAGCCGTAAAATCAATCAGACCTCGAAATATACGTGGATTTTGTGGTTTCCCACTTTCGTATGTCCACGTAAAAGGTTCAAATACTCCAGAAAATTTTATGCACATTATCAATCGATGTGATATATGGCGATTTTTGTCGACCCTTCCATTACGTGACCGAATATTATTAATATAGACGGTGTTTAGTTGTTTTACAATGTCCCTATTACCGAGAAGGTTATCCAACAATATTTATCAAACCTGTTTTACGTCTATCTCGCTCAGCATGAAAATTAAAACCCGCGATTGAGTTACTCCTACCGAGCACTGTCAGAACGGGACCCAGTCCCATTGACTGAAATGGCTAGGACGTGTGGTTTCTATAGCAACGGTGTAAACAAAACGTTTAAATTAGCTATGATTCCGGTCTCTGTGCCCCGCTGTTATCAGCAATAACATATCATATATCCAAGACACACGTCTTTAGATGCAAGTGGATGTAGTTTAGCTTAATTATGACAAATTTCCGGTACTATTTTGCTATGTCCAGTGTGTTTGTCGACGTTGTAATTTTGGGGGGGAGGGGGGGGGGGGCACGTGCCCTTTATGCTTTCGTATAAATTTGGAAAAATATCTTATGTTAAACGTGGAAGTGAAAACTACCAAAGCTTTGCCAAGAAGATAAAGTCGGCATTTGGGGATACAATTTAATTTTTTGTCTTCAATCAATTTATAAAAAACAAACGAAATTTTAATATTTGCTTTTACTGAGGTTTTGACTAACAGACTGTAGTATAGTAGCCTGCATAGATATTGTAGCCGTCCATAGAGTCGAACTTTGCGAATAAAAATAAAATAAAACCGGCTCAAACGGAGCCGACAACGGCTTGCAAGTTCTGTCACTACGGCACGCGTCGCATCACACAGGGGTGTATTTAAGGCCGATTGCACAAAATCTTAGGGTCACTGTAATCTTACTATTTTCTATCTACGACAAACGATTTGTCACACAGCTACGAAACCGACGATCTAGAGAAAGATGGAAGTTTGAAAATGTATTTCAACAAGTGTAATAACCGTTTGGTGCAACGCAATTGGTTCAAGCAAAGTAAAATATGACAGGAAACAAACAGTCCACGTGGACTAGTTTATAGCCGTGTTTGCTGCTAAGATGACCAGGTTTTTCGCTCCACCTACCTCCGCAACGATGAATATACCATACCACAACTTGTGTACAGTGAACAGAGCTTCGTTTTTATTGACGAGATTGAGCTGCTAAGAAATGAAGCAGATTATATCATAACGGAAAAGATGACATTTAATATTAAATACGTCTCTGTGCAACGTGTGCCAGAGTGACGTCAGAATTTGCAACCAAATAAATATGATTTTGACTCTTGAACATTTGTTCAGTGGTCAGTATACTGCCAAACATTCAAATTAAAGCATATTTTTTAGAAAAAAAATTATTTGGATATTTTTGTCGGTATATTGTAGGCAGCCATGCAAAAATAAACATTTACCTGACGTTTCTAAAATTTGATTACTCGTTTGATTACTGTTTTTTTTTAGTACACAATTAAAGAAAAAGTGAAAATGGTGAATGATGGATACATTGAAGGCTTATCGATAACGGAAAAATGGTCCAAAATTTTGCTTCAGCATTCTCTCATCGTTTCATACCTAGCAAGAGAACAATTTAAAAATTTCATAGCAATTTTATAAACACAGGTTTTCTCGATAGTGGATGGCGAAAACGTAATTTCAGTGAAATTTTCTTCATTTATGTTTAAATGCCATCATTCTGTATGGTTTCTAAAAACTGCTATAATAGGTATTTAATGATTAAATTCAAATTAATCTGTCAAAAATGATAAATCAAAACCTTTTATGATGTATCAAAGTATAAAAGTGGTAGTGGAAATTAAAGTAGAACCCTAAGATTATTTTCACTGCAAAAATAATCTCTGAGTTTTCATCTTAACAAAAGTTAACATGGGGTCCAAAATTTAACATGAGAATACCTATGGCCACTTTTAAAAAATATGCACTGTTTAACAGATAGTGTCGAACGATTAACAAAATGTTTTTTACACTATCTATGAATACAGGAAAGACTAATGCATGTTTTTACGGTTCCTCAGACCTCAGAAGTTAGCTGGAAAAGCGTGCATCCTAGAATAATTATTAAACAAGGTGTATTCTATATTTTCCGCACAGTTTCATTTCTTTAAAGTTAAATTTTGACTGACGTAGTGAACACTCGGTTTCTTCACATTTAAGATTCACTGGATGTAATAACAGTATAAATTTTAGAGTTCTGTATGTTGTCTGTTTTATATCAAACACACAAAAGAGATGCTAACTATGATGGGTGATAACGGAGAATAATACAGATTCCCATAATGACGAGAGAAATAATAGAAACAAATAAACTGAATTAACTGAAAAGAGCGAAGAAAAGAAGTAGATAAAGTTAAAATGTAGCATTAAAATCAAAGAGACAAAAAAGAACACTCGAAACTGGATAAAAAAAATTAATGTATTGTGATGTAATTATTACAGAGGTTTGATAAATTGATAGTATATAAAGGAAAGAAAACAAATTTAACTAAAACTGTAAAATTGTTGAAGAATTTAGCAAAGATGTTTGATGTGTTGTATTTAATTTATTTTGCTTTATTGGGTGTGAAACAAGTTTTAGAAATTTAAATAATGGATTTCGCTTTTGTTCTCAACAAAGAATGTCAAACTATTTTAGCCTGTTTATACAGTTTCATGAGTAGATGAATTACTGGGCGTGAAATGGATCAATATGTCAAAAAAAAAGGAAAAATCTTGTTTTGTTATAGAAAGAAGCAAAAAAAAACTAAGAATGTCTTAAGGATTGTATTAATTTATAAAAATACCGAAACAGGGGAAAGAAAACATGAAACAAAAATTCTTCCTTTTCTAGGAATTTAGGGTAACACTTGAATGGACCAATTTAATAGTGGATGGTTTGGTGAGGGCGTTATAAATACCTTTCCCGCATTTGTCAATATGGTTGGTTACAGGCAGATCCGGTTTACATTGGCATTTTCCGTGTCCGTTTCCGTAGCCCTCGCACACTGCTCCGGGGAACTCGCAGTCTTCGTTTGACGTGCATTTGTCTCCAAACAGATTCTTCCTTTCTGAAACAAAACACAAATTATGCACTACTAATTAGACGTTAAGTGCCAGAAGCAGCCATCTCATCTTGCATGCATGCAACAATTGGTTGGCGGTTAACTAATGCCATTGTCTCGGACAATAACGTTAATTTTATATGAGATCCGTCACAAACAGGGAATTCATGAATACAAATAGACGCGTCAAGTGCCGTCAATGAGCTGGCGAAATGAGATCCAGTATCTCCAAAGACCATGAATCAACCGTTCAGGTGCCCCGGCATGATGGAGGATGTTTGATGACAAATTAACATTCATGAGGTCCTTGCAGGTTTAAAATTTTGCTTCGCGGAAGGGATTACTGCACGACAAGGTGCGCAAAATAGTGACAAATTACGAACGAAGGAAATCTTCTAACTTCATTTTCACTTTCAGCATTAAATAGAAACTTCACTCCAAGAAAAAAAGACATAAGCGGTAGAAAATGCTAGATCAAACTGTTGGTACCGTCTGGAACAGAATTTTGAGCCGAATGCAACTATTCAGCTAGCATAAATAACAAAACAATGTGTGGAAGACGGTTTCTTAAACGCAGCGTAAGCTCCGCCGCTTTACAGCAGATTTATAGACTGACGCACCTTCATATTCCGCCTTTACCGCCAACGCCAAAGCATTAATCTTTGTTTAAAATAGTATCATAAGATCAAGTTTGAAAACCCTTAATCCAATTGCACCAGCAAGAATTTGACACGTATTTTTTTGTATACAAACTAAGAAACTAATAGAAGATTTGATGTTAAGACAGAAAAATAGTTTTAGTGAATTTGATATAGTGTTGCTTTTGAAAAAACAAATTCATAACAACAAACAAACTTCAGGCTATTGTACACTTTTTTGGTTTGAATGTTTGCAACCATTGGCTCTTTAAATTTAATACGTAAACTGAACGACTTGGAAAATAATATTTACGAGAAGTATTTAACATTAGTTTTTTACTGTGATCAAAATCGCACTATATTCGTAGACACATGCTATTTGCTGAAGTTAACTGTATCCTTGGGTACATTATTTGTTCAAGGTTCGAGATAAATGTAATTAGTCTAAGTTATCGCGGGTTGTAATTATTGAAAATTATTTTCAGAAAGCTTTCAGCTTAAAACCCCTTCAAAATCAATATAGCTGAATATCAAACTTAGTCTCTAAGCAATTTAAAACTACTTAATTTGGAGCGTTGTTCTGTGTATAAACACTTCCAAATAATTACAAACAATAGGTGAAAAAAAATTCACTCAAAATAATGAAATTCATAATTTAAGTGAATGTGCGCTGAAAGACATTATTCATATTACATCTGAAAATGTTCAACCACCATTAGCATATGTTTAAGTTTCTGCAACCGTATTTGACTTCGGAGTTTTTTTTAATGGCTTGTAGGAAGTTGAAATTATCAGTCCCATATTCCCAGATCAGGGGCAATATGTATGCAAAGGTTGCATTCCGTTGGAGTATTATTAAGCCTTCGTTTCCGAAACCGATTTTAAGGTGATTTTCGTTGGTTGCTCGCAAAAAGGTTTCATTAACTACAGCTTACTCACTGAAAAGTATTGTGTGAATAAGGGGACTGTTTTTCATCTTTGTGAGAGTTGTTTCAAGTCCTAAGATTTAATTAATTGTAAATGACGATCGTGCTTGTAGCACAGTTTAATTTATAAACTTTTTATAAATCAATAGACAATTTCAATTTAAAAAAAGTCATAAAACTTATTTTAACTTTATTATATCAAACACACACTATTTTGGATTTTGAAAAAATTTTCAAAAGTCACTGCCAATACCTAGCTATGTAATACATTGCTTTGGAATTATTTTAGAGGTAAACTACTGTTTTTTTTTTAATATGCAATACCCACGAGTAATTGAGAAAGATTAAAACATAATCTCAAGTCCTCTAGAAATAAGTTGTACAAGCGTAACTACGCGGTTTAAAATTTCGAGATATATACTTTACATTTGTGTAAAATCTAATTTCTTTAAGGCTAGGTGTTTGCTGCTGACATTGAATTAAAAAGGTTATTTCGTTTCGTCGTCTTTAAAATATACAGTATCGGAAATTAAAGATGAATCTAATAATTTTTCTGTTTGGGGAACAATGCAACAGAAATGTTTGTAGCAATAAGAGTAGTTGTAGAATTCTGTATGTTATTAGCTCCATATGGAAATCATAAGATATGTGGTAATGATAACTATTGACAATGGAAAACAACATACAATAATGTAGTAGAACAAAATAAACACTGATAAAAATGTAGAGGAGCAAGGAAGAAATTCAATAAATAAAACCAAAAATTGGACGAAAGAAAATTTCTAATGCAATGTAATTGTAGCGTGTCTACTATATGTTTATTCCCGCCGGGCGTTAGGCAAACAGAAATTCCTTTCTACCCTTCTGGTCTTAGTTGCCTACCTAACCTACCACCACCCCGTGCAACCCCACCCCCACATAGGCCGCTTCTAGACAGTTGAATATTTTGAAAATAAAGGTGAGGCAGAGTTCGTCGCTCGTTCATTGTGGCAGTCAGACCACCCTCCGTCTGTCCGGTCTTTGTGGTTGTACTTGGCTCATTCGGTAGAAGTTTAATCAGGTCCAGGCGCCTCGAGGTTGTTTTGGAGATCGTGAAGGAAGATTGCAACAACAGGGAGAATCCTTTATCCATATCCTTAATTGTTGTCAGCTTATGCGACCTCTGTGTCGTAAACATATGGTCTTTCGAGCCGGATTGTTTAATCAGTCCACGGTTTACAGTTTATTTCGTTGTTGCCGTGAAAGAGCACTCACAATTAATTTAAATCTTTGATATTTTGTGGCTTGGATTGCTTGACCCTGTAGAAAACTCAATGTATTTGCTAAACACGTGCTAAACTTCGTTAACTTAAATCTTTGATATTTTGTCGCATTTTGTTATCTCTTGGGTTGTTTGACATTGCAGGAAACACAACGTATTTGCTAAACATGTGTTAAAACGTCCGTCATTTTGAATTTGCTTGTTGCCAACGCAAATTGTAAGATTTTGTAATGATGACCAAACTGCAGAACGCTCGGACTTTGCGAGTCGTAGCTTAGGTATAATTCGATGGGGGATATCCACGATGTAGCCTCCTCCGCCTTCTTAGAAACCACGTTTAGAAGCTCATTTTCGTTTCATTGCCAGCGCGTAGAGGAAATTGCACAGGATTCTAGAAACCACCATGCGTTATAGTTATGTCCTACTTCTCCAGTACTGCCGAACCCGATCTTGACACCGAAAACGCGGTGAGAAAAAAGTTTGATCGCCTATAATCTGAAACCAGAGTACCATATATATATCCAACTTTTCCCCGTAGCTCGAGTAGAGAGTACATCTACTGATCATAGTTAGGAAATTAGACTAACTACGAATATATTTGCTTGCCAAAAAGTTTGTTACTCAATTTCGATGGCGATTTCGTGAAATGGTACCCATTTATTCAAAAGTTTAATACTGCATAACAACGAGTTCTTAGAGCCGGTGAAAAAATTCCAGTTTTTACTTAGTTGATTGACCGGTGAGGCATTAAATTTGATTAAGTCGTTATCATAATCAGAAGAACACTATGCGATCGCGTACAAAATTCTAACCGACCGTTATGATGACAAACGATTATGTCTATTCCAAGATAGGAGAGGAGTCCACAAAGGCACTTCGCTCAATTTAGAGGACTTTTTGCGGCTCAGCATTTGATTAGATAAGGTAGATGTGGGTACTAGTAAGGCCTTTGAAATCGAATGTCGAATCCAAGGGATTTTAATTTTCCAACTCGCGAAAATCTAGAAACCTTTATTGAATCACATTGTAAAGTACTAGATTGTGGTTCCGGTCATACAGGACATAGTCGCCAAAGAAGGTTTCACTTAAGTGGGTCTAAAGTACAGAACAAGGCATCATTCGTTGTCAAGTCCAAACCAGAAAATAAATGTCCATCTTGTACAAAGATGCATGTAATAATAAAATGCCCAAAATTTTTACAAGCTTCGCCCAGTGACCTGTATTCATTGATTAAAACTCGAGAACAGTTTGTTTCAATCGTCTCAAAGGTGAACACACTGTGAACAAATGTTCATCTAAAGGATGCTGTCGTGAGTGTGGCGGTAGGCATCATACATTGCTGCACTTTAGAACTAATTACGTTGTCCATGCACCTTCTGAACCCGAGGTCCCTGGAGCGGATACAAACAGAGTCCCATTGGAACCCGTCACCTCCCTAGTTGTCAACCCGTTAAAGCCCCACAATCACATCTTTTTGGCAAACAAAATTTTAGAAATTCGCGATATATGGGGGAACTTCCAACATTACGGGCGCTGTTCAATGCCGGTACCAGGCTTTCTTATTGAGAGTTCTAGCCTCAATAAATTACCAAAAACCAAATCATCGGTTCGATCTTGGTTTTAGAGTTGCAGGTTTTACCACGCGTCTGCGGGAACACTAATAGATCCATCGCAGGCTCACGTTGATTTCTCTCGTGATTTGACCCCGCGGTTTCAATTGGTATAAACCGGGTCCAATCGACCTGCTCTTGGGGGCGGATGTGTATTCTGCGATTGTTCGCAATCACGTGGTGGACGAATCCTTAACACCCGCCATGATTGAAACGATTTTCGGTTGGGCTTTGCTGGGCCCAGGCAAATCCATCGAGTCAATTAAGTACTACACATATCTCTGGAACCTTCCCTAAATTACGGATTACAAAAATTTTGTTCCGTGGAGGAGGTTCCCCACGAGTCAATTGTTGCGCCATCCGATGAACGAGCGGAGGCGAACTTTCGACATCTATTTCTTGCGACCTTGCTGGTAGGGTTGGTTTCGCACTCCCATTTAAGGTCGAGGTCGTACTGAATTTTGTGGATTCGAAAGCCATCAAAGACAGACGACTTCTTGCTCTTGAACAACCCGATGTCTTTAATCACTCATGAAAATCGGGAAGGTGCTGCGTTTTATATTCCCCACCA